AAATTATAATTAAATAGTTGTTTCTTTCATTATTGTAATTTCTAGAACTGTTTGATTACCATTATATCCCCAGCAGCTCTCATATGCTGGGCACACAGTAGACATTCAGTAAACATTTGAATAAATAAATGAATGAGTAAGACTTCTGGTGTGAGGAAAGAAAGGTGGTGAAGGACATAAAGGATGTTCAGTATCAGGCAGGGGAAGAAATTCCAGGACAAGAGAATAACACGTAGGAATGAACAAATTGTTTTCAATGGTTCCAGACAGGCTAGCTCAAAAGAGGATCTGTATAATGAGAGATGGGATAGATAGGCTGGGGAGTGACAGGACAATGGCGTTAGCAGTCTTTGAAATTTTAGTTGAGATATTAAAGTTCTTTAGTTGCTGTTATTATAGATACTTGGGTGGGGGTGGAGGGCTCTACAAGTTGGAGTTTAAGAAGGCTTTTCAAATAAGAATCTTAAGCTGGCATGGAGTTTGGAGAGTCCGGGGGCAGACTACCAGCTAGAGCAAGGCAGCAGTGGTCCAGAGAAGAGGTGGCATGATGTGACCTAAATCAAGGCAAGAGATAAAATAGTCATGAGAAAAATGAAGAGGCAATGACAGTGGAAGTTAGAAAGAGAGAGATAGATTGAGGAAGCAATTAGGAAGAACATCAGCAAAGCTTGAGGAAACACTAGTTGTGCACAGGGGAAAGGACGGTGTTGTTTACAGTACCAGGGAGGCTTGGCATGAAATTATCAATTAGGGGGAAGCAGAGTGGTCAAGTCTAGAGGTAGACATTTCTAGAGGTAGATAGAATGTCATATAGGTGGTAGGACAAGCCCTCTGAACCAGCAGCTCTGCCCATAGGAGGACAACTTTTCCTGTGGTTATGCAGAGAGAACATTTGAGCTTCCTCTTTGTCTTTGTCTATTCCAGGATACAGTCTTGGCTTTGCTTTTGCATAACCAAAAGGCTTGTTAAAATCTTTCTCCCCAAACAAAAATCAATCTGTCCTCAATGGTAAATTCTGCCTATTACTTCTTCAGGAACAGAAAAGTTGCTGGAAGCTTTAGAATAGCAGTTTGTCCTCACTTTCAATCATAAAGGTTTCAGAATGTTGAAGTTCAGTTTGGTATTGCCAATGAAATTTTTTAATGTGCATATAATTTGACCCTGCATTTTTACTTCTAGGAATCTATGCTATAGAAGCACTTATACACATATACAGTGCAGCATTGATTGCAGTATTAAAAAATTATGAACAATTTAAATATATCAGTTGGGGTATGACTGAATAAATTATGGTCTATCCCATAATAAGGAATACTATGCAGCTATTATAAAGAATGAGATAGACCTCTACTGACATGGATAGGTTTCCATGATATATCAGAGAATGAAAAAAATAGATGCCTGTGAATCTGTATGAGTTGTGAGTGTATGTATATGAACAATGTATACATGGAAGTAAGTCTGGAAAGATAACATACTAAAAATACTAACTGGTTATTTCTGGGTAGTGGGATGGGTAAATGATACAGAAATGACCAAAAAAAGTTAAAGATTTAAAAAAATCATATACCACTTTTATAATTTAAAAAAATGTAAACTCATCAGCTTTCTTTGCAGGCATATTGGACAGAGGCCTCTTTAGCACTTTCCTTTCCCATGGGATTTGCAGTTGTATTGCCAAAACAAGATTATTTGAGAGCTTTCCAGCCCTCTTGCCCTACCTTCCTTTTGAGACAGATTGCAGGATACTTGCCTCCCCCCCCCCGCCCCCATGAACTAACAAAACAAAACAAAACCCAATTTTGTAATCAAGACCAGCAGTTTCAAACTTTATTGGGCATCAGAATCACCTTGATGCTTGTTAAAAAAATACAGATTCCTGGGCCCACTCAGTAGGCTCTGAGTGTGTATGGGTAGGGGCCAAAATCCTGATCTTTCAGAGGCACCCCAGGTGGTCAGTGAGGAAACCCTGTTTTAGGGAATGACGTCTGATTGTTCCCCTGGCTTCTTGTTTCTCTATGATTAGTAAAGACAACGAGGGAGCAATGACTCACTGGATATCTTTGTGGATCACAAATGGTTGGGTTCATCTGAATGGGAAAAAATGTATATAACACAGTTTAGTATACTTGAGATTTTAGTAATATGTTGAAGTGAGCTCTTTGGATTAGAGGTTGGTCTGGTGGGTTTCCTAGTCTATGATGCAGGTTTAGGAGATGCCTTCCAACAATGACTTTGTTAGTTATGAGTGGAAGGGGTAGAGAGGCGTTGGCAAATTGTGAGGTCTTAGAATTCAGATGCTTTCTAAGTGAAACTTTTGTCCTTGGAAAATCGCCATGCCTCTAATATTAAGATGAGGTACTATCTAAAGACTATTCTAAACAGTTTTTTGTTAGAATTAATTTTTTTTGTTATAAACAAAGTCTGTTAATCAGATGCTCAGTGTGGATTATTAACATTCCAAAAAGGTATTTAAAAATATATACCTCAGTTCCTCCCAACAATTAACCTTGGAAACAAAAGTAAATGGGAATACTTCTTAACTACCTTTCCAAATCTTCAGTGAAGCTGGCAGCCATCAGTTAAATAAACCATTAGGTTTATTAGTTTGAGAACAGAAGGGTCAACTTGGGCACAGTATTCTAATTTGCTCCTTGTTTACCACACAATCATTTATTCAGAGGCTACTCTGTGCCTACGGAACACTAGGGAACTCCACAAATAATAGCAAGAGACTGATGAGCAGCTTGAACTCTAAGGGGATCATCTGAATGAGGGAAAAGTGAATAAAACACAATTTAATAGACTTGAAGGCTTAGTAGCAAATAGAAAACAGAAAGTAGATTCCTTAAAGCAATAGCCTTATTCTCTTCCAGTAGTCTATTTTAAGTGGGCCCTCTGGCCCAGCCTTATCAACCTTGGATTAGGAGCTTTGAGGAAATGGTGGTTTGGTGGTTGTTTTTTAAAGGGTTTTTAAAGAAATGTAGTTACTAAGCAACTGCCATGACCTACTGCTAAGTTGGAGTTCAGTAGGCAAGTCAATTCCAAAGAAGGGAATATATAAACAAGTTGGGAGAGGGGGAAAATGGCTTAAGGATAGATTGGTGTATTTTTTTTCTGGGCTCAGTGCATATTTCTGTGTTTTACTTAGCTTGCGCAAGAAAGGGCTGCCTGGTCAGAAATCTCTTTGTCTCACCCGGTTCTACTCATAGCGGGTGAGTGGGGAGGAGGGCCAGAAAAGAGCCAACTAGAGAGGGCTAGGGTGGGGGGCCAAGCCCTGGGAGGGGACCCGTGCTTTGGCGGGCTCTAGAGGTAGACAGCCCTGCTGCTGTGCTCTTGAGCAGGCCAGGGCTCTATGACAGATCTGTCACCACCCTCTACCTTTAGATTGGGATGCCTTATTGATATTGATGTGTTGCCTTATAACCCTCAGAACAGGGACCTATTCCAGCTGCTGTCTTTTTTTCCCCCTAACATTTAGTGGGTGAGTCAGTGACTGAACTGCTCTCTGCAGGATTTCAGGGACGGGAGTAGGTAATGAGGACAAATCACCATAACACCAGTGCATGATGAATGAAAGAGCACATGAATTTAACCAGTTGGTTTCATTGGTACCAGAGTGAACAAAAAGAAACTTTGTTGAGAAGAGAATGTTTGTGTGAATTAGAACTCCATTCCCTCCCCTTTAGGCTTCTTAGTATTTCCCTTTATACGCAGCTGAAGGTCAGGTTGCTTTGCTGAGGGAAGGGGAGTGTCAGGTGTTGGAACAGGTGTTTTGTTTTCTGCCTGTAGAGTCATACAGACTAGGTGGGGATGCTTCTTGCCAGCCCTCTGTGGTGCATGAAAATGCTTTTGTGGAATTCTTTTTCCCAGGAAATGTGTTTGTTTTGTAAAGCAGTTCCCCAGCCTTCAACCCCTAGTATAAATTTTGACTTCCTTTAAAATCAGCTTGTCATAATGAAATGTGCCTGTTTTCTACCATTTTCACAGCCTGTGCCTTCGATATATCCCATTTTATGTGGCAATTATAGACTTGAAAAATGTTGTGTGAGTGTGTGTGTGTGTGTGGTAAATGAGAATATCATATTTTACGTGTACTAGGAGAATGTCACAGCCAAGTAGCCCCAAAAAAGCCTTTTATAGTAATTACATGGATAGAGTTAATATTCCTATGTCAGGTTTTCTTAAATTGGATGTAAACCCATAGTCACCTTTCCAGAGTGATGAGGCTTTTTCAGGCTGTTATGATGGTGTTAGTGGGTTATAGATTTGGGCGTGGACTTATGACCCCACTGACTAGGTATTTTGGAGCAGAGAGGTGTCAGCAGGCTTCTAGGTTTGGGAGAATTTCTGTTTCAATGTTTAATTGTTACTGAAGCCAAAGACCCTGTTTGTTAAAAGGGAAATAATTCAGGAGAGTTTTGTGATCTTATCTGATTGTGAGGTTTGTTTTTACCTTTGTACTGCGTTCCAGTCTTCCCCCTCAAAAAAAATTATCTAGAAACAAATCATCTTCTTTGCCTAACAATGATATAATGGCCTCAGGTCTATTCCTGCCCCTCCACCCTGCATCTCAGGGCCATCTGTTCTCTGCAATCCACTTTTTGGGAAAGTCTCCTTTCCCATCTGCTCTCCCTGGGCCTTAGTGCCTGCTCTAAAGATTTATGAAGGCTGCACTGGAACCTTTTTCCAGTTGTTACTTTTTTTAAGGGTCAGTGATATTTCAAGGCAGATAAAAGCTTTTTCCATTTGATATGTCCAAATGTTACTCCTTTTTCAGGTGTATTCTTTCCTTTTCCTTCTATTACCCTGGAGGTGGAGAGGAATCTGTCTTTCTGTGCTTGGAGGAGGGACTCTGCTTATCAAAGCAAAGATTGACTGGGCTGGCTCTGGCTGCTTTGAAGCCAGGGGTGCTCCCGGCTCTTTGGCCTCTGGCATGCAGGCCCAGTGCAGCTCCTTGGGTTTATTCTTCCCTGTCCTTTCCCTTGTCTCCCTGACAGAGTACAGTCGCTTTGAATCGAAGATACATGACTTGCGAGAACAAATGATGAACAGCAGCATGAGCTCTGGGTCTGGGTCCCTCCGGACGAGCGAGAAGAGGTCCTTGTATGTCAGGTAAGTCTCACTTTGGAGCACCAGGCCTTGTGCTGCACGAGGGGAGCTTCGTGCCAACCCAGCCCTTTTTGTTTAATTAGTGGGGTAGGGAGGGTGTACTCCCAGTACTAAAACAACACTTTGCACTGTATGCTCAGGTTGTGTACTTTATGGTCAGTATCTCCTCCCTTTTGTGAGCTGGCTTCTTCCTTTTCGTTCATGAATGACTCAGTACGGGAAAATTTCAGTTTGCTCTAATTGTAAAAGACTGTTGGGTGATTGTTGCTAGTCAGCATTCAAATAGCACTCAAATGTTCAAAGTACTTTGCTTGCAATCTGTGATTTGAGGGGAAACTTGGCATTCCCCCTTCCACATATGCATAATAGACATCAGAATTTGTATCTGAGCACATCAGCTATCATTGTGTTCTGGTACAGGGTCTCTTTTAAAAGACCAAAGAACTTACAGGTTGTTGTGTTCTGGTTTTTTTGTTTGTTTTCAATTCTATTTCCTTGCTCCCTGCTGCACTGGTCTACTGTATCTGAATCATGGGACATGGGATGGGATGGTGGATGTTCCTCAGGAAGGGTGGGTGGAGGGAACGGCTATATAGCATTGAATGTATTGCTGCTGAAAGCTATCCTGATACTGTCCAAGGTTGAGCTTCTGACCTTTGAGACACATTACAATACTTTGTCAGGTCAAGGTACAAACCTCTTGGGGAGTTGGACTGCTAAATGAACACTATGGACTCCTCCTAGAAATAGAGATAGTTTCCTTCTTCCTGCCTGAGCTTCTTGGCAAAACTCCAACAGTCAGGGCGAGTACATTGTAAAGGTTAAAATCCTCTGAGAAAGAGGTGGTGGGATTACTCCACTGAGCCGTGTGTGTGTGTGTGTGTGTGTGTGTGTGTGTGTGTGTGTGTGTGTTTAATGCTTGGGTGGGGAGGTTGATACCTGCTGAGGGGTTGGGAGGGGAGGCTACATTTGCCAGTTACCTGGCAACGTGACATCTGCTATGTCCTTGGGGTTTGAGATGATGAGAACCAACCCATGTACATGCTAACTGCAGTTCTTCTTTCAGTGCTTGATTTTCTTTTTCCTCAGTTGCTAGTCCCTGAGCCTACTGCAGGGGGAGGAACCGAGGGAGCCCAGCTTCGAGCCTGAAGCCCACTAGAACCCTTCATGGTTATTTTCTAAGATGAACCCTCTGCTTGACTCCCTGTGTGTTGAGAGCAGCTTTCTTCACATTTGCTGTGAAGAGAGGAGAGCGGGAGGAAGGCTGGACTAGTCACTACTGATCTTCTCAGTTTCCTGTTTTCTGTCACTAAGCCCTTGCTCTGGGTCTGCAGCCTAGACACTGGGGTGCCAATGCAGGGAATCAGAAATATGCTGCCCACAAAAGGGTAATACTTACGTGATTTGGTCAGGATTGTTCCGTTCCTGTGCTTCTAGCCCCCGCAGATGTGGCACTCCAGTGTGCGTGGGAAGCTGCTCTTTAGGCAAGACAGTTTCTTTGGAGAGCTTTATTTTTAGATTTCCCCTCTCCGCCTATCCTGTGCTAGAGCTCTCCCTGCTTGGCAGGGGAGTGGGGCATTAGCTCCCAACCTGGAAGACCTGGAACACCCTTCTCTGGTCCTGGCAAGGGATACATTCTGTCTAATTCTGGGGAGGAGGGTGGAGACTGCACTCTGTTTCTAGTGAATCAGTTTATACAGTTTATATCATCTGCCCTTAACCTTAGGTAGATAACATCCAAGTAAATATGGTTTAGAATAGTGGGCATTTGTTATCACTAGACTTAATCAAGGGAAATAATGTTTTATGGCTGAAGCAGTGAGTTAAAGTCCTTCACTAAGCTTACCCTCTTCTGGAGCCTGGCTCGCTCTATTCCCTTTTGTGCCTCTTTTTGGACTTTTTCTTTTAACTTTACACTGGCTTCCTTTTGTTCAGCATTTTAAAATATTCAAGTTTATTCCATTCTTAAAGGAAAAGAAAAAATTTCCTTATACCAATAGTCCCTTAAACTGTTGTCTCTCTTCTGCTTACATTTGTCAACTTATGTGCCAGAGAACGCTAGTTCCTCAAAATGTTAAGTATTGTGTGAAAAATCGGCTCAGTAAGTTGGGCAAATGCAGGATTAAACAGGAAAATAGGGTTCTTTACTGTGATTAATCTCCAAGAGAGATTGTACTAGGCAATGTTTCCCCAAAAGATAGGATATTTAGAGAAACCCGCCTTAGCATCCAAGGTTGGGAAATGTTGCAGTCGTCTGTATTTGCTGCAGCTGTTTCTTCAAATTGCCTCTCTTTCAGTAGGAAAGGAGGTGTGTATCTGCTTTTCAGCATGGTGGTGTGGTTCCAAGCAACTCCAGAAGGCTCTGTTAGGGATCAGCAGTGACCACTTAGTCTTCAAATTCAGTGACTGGTTTGCTGATTATCTGCCATTGGTCTGACCTCTTCACCACATTTGTTCCCATGAATTACCTGCTTTCTTCTTTAAAGGCTCTCTTTCTACCTTGCTGATCATTTCTCAATACCTTTCATTAGCTCTGCCCCGTAAATGGCAAGTTCATTTATTTTCACAGCTTCAAATCCTGTCATCGAGTAAATGACATCTCTGATCTCTTTACTGAACTCCAGATCTGCATATCAACGACTTGCTGGACACATGCCTGCAGCTGTCCTCCCAGTGCCTCAGACAAGCAGTGTGTTCCAAATGGAAGCCCCCCTCCATACCTACTCCTCACTTTCCTTATCTAAGTTAATTGCATCACCTTATCATGTGGAAAAGGGATTAGATTTGTTCTGTCACCCAAGGCAGATCTCAGGTCAACATAAGGAAAAAAGAGCTAATGATTAAAATTATCTGAAAATGGAATGGACTGCTTCTGGAGATAGTAAATTTGATCTTTTGTCACTGGACGTGTTACAAAAGAGCCTGGGCAGCCATTTGTCTGGCTGTTGTAGAGCTGGTTGAAGCTAGAGCAACAACCTGGACACATCTGCTCAAGAGGCTTTCAGTAGTCCCCAGTGTCTTCATAATGAAGGGAAACAAACGTTTAGGGAACACTTGCTCTGCATTAGGACCTTTGTTATTCTCTTTAAACTGCTTTTAAAATCCTTTTAATAATGCTACAAAGTAGACATTATTCTTCTCATTTTGCAGGTGAGAGAACTGAGACTCCAGTTTGACATCTAAGAAGTTCCAAAACTAGAATTTGAACCTGGTTGCCCTGACTGTAGAATGTGGTTCTTTCAGCATTTCCCAAACTTGCTGACTGATAGGCATCCGCTGGCGTGCTAGTGAAAATGCAGATTCCCAGTCTCCTATCGATTTGGATTCACCAGGTTTGGGAAAATGTATGTTTTTAACAACAATCAGAAAACTCAGGAATGACCACCTGTGTATCACAATAGACGCTTATTTCTGTTTCACTCGAACAATTGAACATTACACTTAATTTAGCTCCTGCCACATGGAAAGCAGTAAAACACAGGTCTGAGAACTTGGGCATGGTTGTGGCGGTAGATTCATGGAGGCAGTAGGTGTGGTTCCTGCCCTCCAGCAGCTTGCTGTCTACGCAGAAGATACTGAGCAGCAGGTGGTTTATGTGAAGGAACCCTTTTCAGTGGGCTTTCACCTATAATTCTGTTTGCCGTTGTTTCCCCTTGTGACATGCTTCTTTTCCCTTCCCTTCCCCTGAGTCTCTATCCTTCTCTGGTGTGCACAGGGCAACAAAGCTATTTGAAGCAAATAACACCCTCTTGCAGCTGCACTGAGGCTGTATAGCAGGTGAAGCCCCAGGGAGCTGCAGCTGCACTAACCACAGGGGAGATGGGGTTTGTGGCATGGGGAACAGGAGGAAGAAGGAAAGAGAACAGTGTTTGGAAAGCAAAACTGAGTTTTAAAGTCACTAGTGACTTAATGGGAAGGCTTTCCCCACCCTTCACAGTACTAGAATCATTTGTTAAACAGTATAGGCAGGGTGAGCAGAGCCCCTCTTTCTGCCCAGTCTAGGGCCTTTGCTCTGCTGGTTAATTTGCCTTCCACATTGGAAAAGTCCACAGAGTATGCCTCGGTTGAGCCTTTTGCTCAGGGTCAAGGTGGCTAGATATTTAATTCAGGCCATTCTGACTGATGTGAAGGTAGTAAAAAGACACAGGGTAGGTTAGAGTTCCAGAGACCACCACGTTCTACACTCATGTTTTATTTCATTTTGTTTATCTATTTATTAAATGAATGAACAAAAGACCTTATACTCCAAAGATTGCTAAGAGGCTTGATAGTACATTTGTAGAAATAGCTTTTGAAAGTCTGTTCCAGCTAGCCTGGCTGCCTTCTTTGCAGCCACAGGACAGCATCAGGCGTTTTGGGAGTCCTGGCCTTCCGACTGGCCATCTGCCATTCCCGTCTTCTTCCTGCTCTAGGAAGGAAATCATGTTGGGGCATCTGCAGTCCTGATTCAAGAAACAGTGTCAGAAATATTGGCTTGGTCATCAAAGAAGGCTGGAAGATGCTCCTTCTTGCCAGCAAGCTGTAGACATTAATTGTGCAGCTACCCTGTGCTTAGCTGAGGGTGGTGCTTGGAGGAGCCATACTTTCTCTTGTTCTTTAATGAGTTTCAATAATTGATTAAGATGCCAGTGAGGTAATAGTGGCAGGCTTCACTATCTGACAGAATTTGGGAGTGATGATAATCTGCATCTTAAAAAGCAACAACAATTTATGTAGTATTTGGGGCTACCAGAGGGTGGGGCAGAGTTTTCCTGTATCAGTGATTCAGGAAGTGCCTGTTGCTACATCTTATACCCCAAACACCAGTCCTGGACCTGTGCTCATTATCCCCTCAGCTGATCCAACAGGTGCTGTGAACCCCAAACATTCACACATTGTGGGTCCGTGAATGCCCCTCTAACTTCATAATTGTCCTCGAAGGCCAGACTACTTTGAGGTAGACTAAAGGAGAAAGGTGCCCTCCCCGCTCTCCATGTTCCTTATTCAAGGTGTGCCACGGAGAC